TCATCGATCATTACTATCATTATTACTACTACTAGTACTACCACTACTGCTACTACTGTCACTGCTAGAGATACCAAGCTTTTTAATCGAAACCTTTTTCAAACGACCGCTTCCTCCTCATCAAACAAATTTATCTTTTAGAAAAAAGTTACCTAAAGCCAATTCTTCCGTTACAGCCCTTACTCACCGGTACATACGATAAGAGCCCAAACAAATTGACGGCATCTGAAAAAAATAGAAAAAATCGAGAAATTACTACGCAACGACAATATTCGCATGAAACAGCGATATACAAAAATAGAAATCGAGAAATCACTATGCAACGACAAATTCGCATGAAACAGCGACAACAAAACAACACAGAAAAAAATAATTAACAAAATCTCTTAGCCGACAAATAACATAAAATCAACAAAATCTCATAGCCAGTACCTCCTAACTGATAAAATACCTCACCAAAATCTAAGGGGTGCAACGTTGGGGACGAGGTGGTGATGCTCAACACACGCACACTCATATACTCACGCACACAGGCATACGCACACACCCACATACACACGCACATACTTATATGCATATGCACAAACACAAACGCACACATATACGCCAATGTACCAAAACTGTTAAAACGTTACCAAATGCTCCTGTTTGTAGAATCGTTGAGCTGGCTACCGCTCCAGAAAAGAGCAGGGCCAGGATTTCCAGCAAAATTAACTACCAGGCAATGCAGCATTGGTCAAAGCGACTGGAAAAGCGGCCAACCGCATAGCTAGAAAATCATATTGTGAATCAAGCATTCCTAGTAAAATAAATCAAAAACACAGGAAAAAACATCTAGGAATCAGTGGTGCCAATCCCGAAAGGAAGTTTTTTAACATGTATGTCACCGAGTTCGGTTCTCCATTGCTTTGCGATCCCAATCTTCAACTTTTTCCAGATCAAGCCTATCTGATTCTTCCAGTGGAATATTACCCGGAGGTGTAACAAAATAATCTTCTACTGTTTTTGCAGCATTCATAAGGACCTCTTCTTTGGTCAACACATCGGCGACAACATCTTCACGCAGCGGACAAGGTACATCTTCCAGCAGAGTTTCGAGTGGCTCAATCCCCTGCAGGAAGTTGCTGTTTAGATGAATATATTAAAAACGTTCATACTTGTTGTGCAAACATCACAAGTGCTCCTAGTGTTAATAAGCCTACAGCAAAAATTAATTGCTCAAGGAACAAAAATCTAAGCCCCATTCATTGCTTGGGAAGCGCAGACACTTAGAAGTAGCCGAGAAAAACAGTCACTCCCTGGCAAGGCTGAGCGCGATTCCCTCTTTCGGGAATTGCCTAGAAGCAAACTGATGGCGGGATTGTGCTGCACCGTCATATTGACAGTATAAATTGTAAAGGGCCAAAAAGCTCAAAGATTCTAAACTTTCCAGATAACGTTGCGAAAGAAGCTATGAGACTAAAGATCCGAAAGATTTGTAACAAATGAGGCCACTATTCTGACTGCCAAAGAACGTAGCGGTCAGTGGCACTCAGCATGCCGATTTTTGAGGCAACGAAAATTGTATATGCCGAGTGGACAGGATTTAACAAAAATGGGAACATAAAGCCCGAATTAAGCTGGTTTTCTTCTCTGCTAATAGCTGGATGCGCAGCCAGGTGAAATAAAGCCTAAATTGATTCAAAATTTTGTTTCATTCAAGACCATCACCAAGAAGTAATAAATCAATTTTATCTAACTTTCAAAAACCATGAAGCTGAAATACACCAAGATAACAATCCAAACAAATAATTAGAAGAGATATTCCCAATGTGGCTACGATTGTCAGACAAAAAACGAATAACTGGCACCCACAACATGTCAAAAGAACAGTTGCGAGATCATTGACGTGAGTGGATCAACTCAATAACTCGAATGTATGGGCTGTGCTATGGATGGG